AGGAATCAGTAAACTCACTCCTGAATAGCAAAAGAGAGAAGCAGTCACAGAACACCTAGGAAACCAAAGGAAGCCTCACAAATACCTCTGCAGCAAGCGAAAGGGAAGGCGATTTCACGGCCTGCTTCCTTTCCTCTCAAGACAGTATGGATCCCCGATCCCCATATCCCTGTCACTCTGCCTCCTTCTGGGCCTCGTTTGCTACCACGACACCCTCTGAGCTGTGCAGGAATGAGGTCATTTCTTAAACTCTTGTTTTATTTAAGGAATAGACAGATGGCTCCACTGTTGTTTTCTTTGTAAAACAGGGGAAAACCACAACTGTTCTTAAAATTGCAAACAGTTGTAATGATGCATCGTTTCTAATTAAAAAAAAAAGTCCCCACAAGATTCAAAGTCAGGGAAATACTACCTACCATCATAGCAAAAGCCTTTTTTTTTTTCCCCTGAAATATCCGGTTAGCAGCAGTGTGAGTTCATAGCAAAATAGAAATTGCTAGAGGACTTCTCTTATTATTCATATCCATAGCAACCGTAGCAAGTGAAGAGCAGTGACTAGTTTAGGTCAAAGGGTTTCTGCTTAGTTGCTAATGTTGGTGTTGGTTTGAAGGAATTTTGGATCAAGCTGTGTCCTCAGCTAATGGTGCCTGGAACAGTGGTTTGCCAACTTGAGGATATGCTATTGAACATGGATTTCCAAACCCTCCCTCAGAACTTCTGAATCAGAGGACTGGTAGCTCTCCTTGGCCAGGTGACCCCCAGTATGGTCTGAGGCCCACCCTGTCAGCAGCACTCCCTGCACTGTCACTGTCATCTCAGAGACAGTACTGGACTCCATCATGGCGTTCCCATGAAATTCCGTTTAATTCGGTTTAATAGAAATGTATGGCATATCCTTCTGAGTAGAGTGGCGCTGTTGTGAATGCTGAGAAGTAGATGTGTCTCTGCTCTGAGTAATTTATAATTTAATTAGTGAGGAAAGGGGATATGCCAGATGAGCAGGGGGCTAGCAGAAAACATGCCTGACCACGGTGGGAAGTCTCCAGAATAAGGGATGCCGTGTTATGAGGGAGGCTACTGAGCTCTCATGCTGTGAGAGGTGGAAGGCCCCGCTAACATACAGAAGGGTTTGCGGAGGACACAGGGTGGAAGCAGGAAGACCACATGTGAGGCTACTGAGTCTCAGCCTTGTTTTCTCGGATGGAAACCATGAAACATATCTTCAAGATTTCCTTTGAGAATGAAATAGAATTATGGATATGATGTAATAAGGCCTGACACATATTAGGTACCTATTGTTACCCCCATTGAATAAAATAATCCATGCTGGCATCACTGCCTGGTGCACGGGAAGTACATAAAACGTGCTGGCTCCTTCCTTCCTTCAGAAGCCTTGATAGTAATTCACACGTGGAAGAGTGGCAAGTGTATAAACAGGAAGGCGAGGCCGAACCCAGTGAATATCACGGGGAAAAGAACAGCCCTCAGAATAATTATAATGTTAAAACAATGGGGCGACAACAGAGTATGTTTTGATCCACTTATTTGGTGGACTATTATAAAGATATTTAAAATAATGATTTTAAAGAGCATGCATTGGCAAGGGAATTAATGAAAAAGAGGCGAAGAACACATAAGTGATCTATGCTATTCAAAGTGTATTTATAGAGGAAAAATAATATTCTGCTAAATATTTTTAATGTTTAATTTTATTAAAATGTGCTTTAAAAGGTATGGGGTGGAAGTTTCCAAGGCACTGAAAACTTTGGAATGAAAATGGGGCACTGAATAAGAGAAAGAATAAAAGATAACTTCATATTCAGGCCTGCCCAAAGACCCATTGGTATGTATACTACTTGACTGTATACATATTACATTTTTTTTATGTCACAATACTTCAGGTCAATCAAGTTGCTTTTTATTACTGTATTTATAAAATACTCACAGTCTTGCCCAAAGGAGTTAAGGTAGATTTAGAAAGGAAATCATTAATCCTTTTATAATCCATAGTTCCAACCCATCACAACTACTGATTAAGGAATAGCACTCTTTAATCCTGTATTATGAGTCAATAACTCAAGTTCACCAGGGAAGATTATTATCAGGTTTATTCTCTAGATGCAAATAAACTACATAACAAACAGAAAACTAGATAACACTACAAAAGAACACCCCATGGAGCTGAGATTCTAGGTAGCTATATCAGAGATAGGAGTGAGTGCCTTTTAAATATCTTGAATTTGAAGACGATGGAATTAAAGTTAATAAATGAAAATTTGATGTCTGTTTTAATATCCTCTCATCATCTAAAAATTAGTGTTCTGAAGTATTGCCTCCTGTAGTAAACTGAACTGAACCAACTGATAAGTTTTATAATTAAAATTTATCCTTTTGAAGTAAAGTGGCAGGGGGGCCAGCAGGTGGTATGGTGGTTGAGGTGCTGGATTCCCACATGGCCAACCACAGTTTGAGTCCTGGGCCTGGTGGCTTGTAAACTCCACTGGGTGCAGATGCATGTGTGCCCAAAGTCCTTAGGGGAGGAAGGAGGAGAAGGGATTTGGGCATGGCCATCTCTCTAGAGAGTGATTTCTCACTTTCCCTCCCTTGGTCTCTCTGTTATATCTTATCCTATGGCAGAAAAAGAAAAAAAAAAGTTAAAATAAATAAAGCACAGAGGTAATAGTAGGGGCTCCTGGACAGCCTTCTTCCTAGTAGGTTGTGAATATGAAGTTTCTAGAAGAAATGTTCTCAAAGTTGGCTGGGGGGATATAAATGGATTTGTTGCTTTTGTCCGAAGTAATGCTTGGTTTCCATGGAAGCAGATTTAGGTTAGACAGGCTACGTCTAACTTTTCAGCCCTAATGGAAACAAACAAAGATCCCAGTATAAAAAAATATGTCTTCAAGCTGCATCTTTGCAATGTGTATACCTTTAGAAATTACCTGAATTGGGAACAATAAGGTGACCCCCAAGGGCGTTGAAGGTTCCAAAAGCAGTACAGGAAGGGTCAGTCTGCCTCGCGAGACTCTGATTCTTCAGGTTCAGGGCCTCATTCTCCAGCAAGGATTGGGTCATCTGAGGGGACAGCTTGGATGTAAACTCAGAGAGGTCATCTTGGGGAGTGACAGCCCCTGAGGTGTTATACACTTTGATTTTCAGGTTGGGCAGTGGATCCAGAATTGGAGAGTTGGTCATTGGGATTTTGTCTGAGACATCGTGCAGGGCATAGACGGGTCCTCTGTACATGGCCGCAGCTGATGTGAGGTCTGGGGGCACCGCCAGAAGGTCTGAGTCCGAAAGAAAAAGGAATTTCATTTGTGTTCTCCATTCAGACACACTCCATTAGCCAGACTTCCAACCCCCCCCCCCCTTAAGCCAAAAGCAAAGCATTTCCACTTAATACTGGCCACAGAGAGACTCCAAGGCTCTGCGGAAAACAGGATAAACAGACAAAGCACCCCTTTTATTATAGGCTGTAAGTAAGGAGTCACACTTCGCCTCAAAGTCCACTCATTTCACCCAGGTACTTGATTGTTTCAATAGGCCAGACTGAACAATGAGCCCCACCAGACTGAACAATGAGCCCCAGACTGAACAATGAGCCCCACCAGACTGAACAATGAGCCCCACTGGGTGACTCATAGTTCTAATTTCCTCATCTGCATTAGATTTGGGTAGTTCTGAAACCACTGTATCCAGAACAATGCAAGCTATCTCGTAAGGGGGGGTGGGAAAAGGAAACTAAAGAAATCAGCCAACCATCAGCAGATGGCGTAGTGTTTACATCGCTGGACTCCTACGTGGCTGACAGCAGTTTGAGTCCCAGACCCAATGGCTTGAAACTCACACCAGGTGCGTGCTCATGCATGCCCAAAAATCTGAGAGGAAAATGGAGAAGGGATTGTGGTGCGGTGTGGCCATCCCCCCCTAGAGGGGTGATTTTTCGCTTTCTATCTTTGCCTCTCCAGCTAGTGCATGTGCCCTATATCAAAAATCTCTCAAGACAAAAAGAAAGAGGTCAGCCAACCAATCAGTGTTCTCTTTTCAACTGGAAGTTAAAAAGGATGAGAGGAACCTATCAGAAAAGAAAAAAGATGATCTGTGCACCTCGCTTGGTCTAATTCGTTCTGTGAATGACATTAATATGCTAATGAACAAAATGGGCCCAAATCGCCTTCATGGAGGGAGCATACATTCCAGCTGAAAGGGATGACAAAACTGTCCCTCATTCTGGAGCCACAGAGGGACATGCAGAAGTACCGGGGTGTGAGGCGGCGCCAACTGACCTTGTCTGGCTGCCTTGATATTCACCGGCTGGAAGCCCCCATTGAGTGCCGAAGAGTCGATGATATCAGACTCGAAGTCACGATGGTTCTTCCGATACACAAACAGGGCCACAGCGACGGAGATGGCCAGGCACACGATCACGGCTATCACGATCCCCACGTAGAGGGCGACATCATCCGAGTCAGGAGCAGCTGGAGGGAAGCATGAAACACTGAACAACTGTTGTCGAAATTTCCCATGGTATACCTGTGTCTTGCCATAATTTTTTCAAACATTTACTGCTTTCTTTATAGGTTAATTTCAAATCTATTTCAAAAGCTATATAAAATGACTGTGGCCTTTCAGCGGAAAATTATCCCCGATTTCTTTTCCTTTCTCACTTTGCATCTATTCACCCACTAATCTCACTTATAATTGGGCGGCATAACAGACTATTTATCAAATAAAGAAACAGGAGCTAAACCCATCCCAACACACAGCCAACAAAAGGGTCATTACCCTTTCAGGCAGAAACACTTGGAAGGGTTTTTGCATTCACTGATAGTTCTTTAAAAACATAAACACTCTTGTTAGAAATACCAGGTATGTTTTGAATCTGTATATTTATTGAACCAGAATATTTTCCTAAGTATCATTCCAAGTTATAAAACTACTTTCCATAGTTCTCTCTCACTTTCCCCTAAATTGGTGGAGGGGTGGCTAAGCAAAGCAAATATTAGGAGCAAACATATTGGATTTGAAAGGTTGCTTTCAGAAGGCCCGGATCTGGGGATCAGAGGTTAATGCCGATAACTTTCTCTATATCCTGGCCCTGGATACAGACGTGGTTTTATCTCTGAGAACTCTGAGCTTCTCACGGCCCCCCATCAGAGGTTTACATTCATCCTACTCATTTCAGGGAGAAAATACGGCTCTATGGTGTACTAAGTAAGATAAAGACCTGCTTCAGTCATCAGAAAGGTCAGAGGACCTGACCTCATAAGGCAAATAAGTATTCGACCAGCACAGGTGCCGTTCCTGTTGTATTTGCCTTGGTAACATTGATCCAACTGGAAAAGGTAATAGAAGCCAATAACAAAACAAAACAAATAAAATTAAACTGTTGCTGAGCCCCTTTGACATCTTTAATCTCTGTTTTTAGTTTTCTATGATGCTCAAGAAATGTTCAACAAAGCTAACCAGAATTGCTCTGCTCACTCTAATGGAGTTGGTTAAATTGGTTTATCGGGTGGTCAAGAAAAACCTAAAACTTTATGGCCAACTTTGTACAAAGTGTATTTTTTGGGAGAGGGATTTTTTTTTTTTAATTCATAGGTCCCATGACCTCCTAAAATGTAAAGACCTACTGCTACAGCGTAAGACTCACCCATGAGGTCTACTTGTTGAACTACGTCATCATAGCAGGGGCTCCCTGAGAACACAAACGCTCACGTCATGGTATCTCTATACCCTGGCAGTTTAAGTGAACTCCCTACTGGAAAAGGCTCCATCCCCCAGCACTAGAGTTAAATGTACTATGCATGAAAGGACTTCACTTCTTATAGAAAATATTGTCTTTTTCAATGTCCCAAGACATCCATTTTCACAGCAATCATGTCAATATGAGAAGTTTCGTTCAGAAAACCAGTGACACCCCAAATATTCTTGATTATGTGGGCCTTGCCTTGAAGGTGCTGGGTTCACTAAGCTGCTGGGTTATTGTTTAAATTGCCAGAGGGTGCAGGCACTCACCAGAGACAGAAAGACAAAGACAAGGAGAGGGAGAGGGAAGAAGCAATCCCAGTGGGATGTGGTCATGCCACAATCACCTTTCCTCCACTTCTCCATTCTGTCAAGATTTGGGGCATGCCCACACATATGCCTGACGCAGTTTCCACGTCACTGGGGCTGGGATTCAATCTGTGCTGGGTATGTGAGATCCAGCTCCTTTAGCCACTAGGCCATGGAACAAACCCTCTGGGTTTTATCTGTGGCTTTTTCCCAGGTTTCTGAATTCTGGTCAGAATATTACTTCTAAATCCCTGATGTTTTATTTTGTCAATCCCTAATTACTTATTCACTATTCTTATTTCCTAGCATAATAGATCTGCGTTTTCTCAAGCCTTTCCTTTTTAGTATTTGAACCCTGCCCTTTATTTATATCAGTGCAATTCATGATATGTTTTGTCAGCTACTGGGCTTAAGGTTTGCATGGGAGGCTGATAGATTTTAAAGCTGGCAGAGACTTGAAATGACCCTTTCTTCTCTTCGGCAGTGGAATCTAATTTGTTTTTCATGTTAGAATACATTAGGCTCCTATTTCCTGCGTGCACATCTGTGACTCAAGGAAAGGTAAACTTGAACTGGAGGCAACAACGGTAAATGATTATTCAGCAACATAAAATCCAGACATCAAACTTACAAGAAAATCCATATTCATTCTGGGTTCTCTGTTCAGTTGAAATGGGATAAATGAAACCTTGAAAAGAAAAAGAAAATGAAACAAAAATGGGAACAAAATCAAATTCATGAGAGAAACAAAATGGGAAGCATGAAAAATGGTTTAATTAAAAGAAAAAGAAAAGAAACTTGTGGTCCTTTAAAATTCTAGTTCAGCATAGAATTATGATTTTGCACCTCCTGTCTGCTCTGGAGCCTCACTACGAATTAATAAGTAGGCAGATTGAATTTCAGAGCAAAAACTGGTCTCGAGTCACTAACTTTGGAGTGCTTAAAGTCTTCCTTTTATTGAGCATAAACTCTAATGGATCTAATTTATTTCAGACATCAAGGGTCATTAGCATAAGGAAAATCTTTTTTCCTTATCCCTGCCATATGCTTTAATTCCCAGGACATATTCAGTGAGGCTCTCTAAACAGGTTTTTCCCCTCTTTTATTTAATCATAACAACTTGCTCTTGGTCTAATAGAACTAAGGCAGACCTGTCGCCATTGGTCAAAGGTTAAGTACCCATTTACTGAGCTGAGCTGAGCTGAGCCCACCTTGCCCAAAAAGCTCAAAGCTACTTTTTGGATTTTCTGTTGTTTCTTGTCCCCTTCATTTAATAGAAATCCAATAGGTATTGCCCAGGGACTGACCAGTTTGTCAATACAAAAGACACTGAGTGCTTTTTATCCAAAATCATTTGAAAATCCATAGGACCTAAAGGTTATAACATCATTTATTTTAGATCTTCAGAAGAATGGCATAAATTGAGCAGAATAAAAACTTCATCTCAACTGAAAATGCAGAAACAACACTAGAAGTTTTATATTTCTTGTTACTGCATTCTGACAGGACACTAATAATAATAATGCCATAATATTAACAATGAAAATAATGTAGAGGAAGATAGAGAGAAAGCATTTAAGCATGCAGAAAATAAACTTTTTAAAATGAAAAAAAAATCTATGGAAAACTGTAAGGGATAGCTTATAACTGGTACCCACAGTTCCCCCAATTTTAATATTCTGAAACACATGAATTAATCAAATGACATGGCACCATTTGGATTAATCAAACAGAGATGAATAAGAAGCATGTGAATTAAATCTCCCTAGCAATACTCAAGGGCAGAAACCAGAGGGAAACTGCAAGAATCACAATTAATTGATTCAAAATGAAAGGTCTGTAAAGCACGCACATTAAAAGCCACGTGACTCATGCCTCAGGTAGGTCTGTTGTCGTTTGTGGAACATGCAGTTCTTACAAGCTCTTTACCTACTTGGGAACTAATTCTGGAGAAACATGCAGTGCTACCTTAATGTAAAATAGCTTTGCTGTAGCACAGATAGGTTTGCTTGGAATTAATTTTTAATGCTTTATTTTAGAGCAATGATTGCAACCTCCTACTCAGTTTTATAAATATTATATTCCTATTTCAGTTGTCTGAGCCCATGCATTAGGTTTGATTTTCATTTTTAAACAACTCTGTCTTGGCAATCACCTTTTTCCATTTGTATTCTGTGAACGCGATAAAAAGACTTCTAGGCAACAGACAGGCTTTATTTTCGAAACCCACCGGCTGAGGATCAAACGACTCAATGCTGGTAGAAGAGACCAGATGACGGTGCCGTCCTTTTGGAAATGATGTTCGGTAGAGGAATGTCAACACACTTTTAATTTTTGCAGGTGAGAGGGCAAGGACATGAGTACAAGAAATGTTCTGATGTCCATCCCGAACGTGCTGGTAAGGACCATCCGCGTGGGCCTGCCTGAGTAAGGAGACAGTGATCTGTGTCTTGTAAAAGGAGACGTCTCCAGAGAGACAGAACGTGGTCTGAAGTTTCTCCTTGTAAAGCAGTTCTGGGGGTTCCTTGGGTTTTTTATTTCTACTTCCTAACAAAACTCCTGATCCTGATAGACCAAAGACTAATAGAAAGGAATTTTATAATTTTGATTTTAATTTCAACTTTCTCCTATTTATGTGGAAGATGTAGCGTACTTAATAAATATTTATGTGCCTTGTGGTATTTATTTGAAAGCTCTATTTCATTCCAGGCACACAATGGGAAAGAATTAACTGACTGATTATTTCATTCGTGACACATATTCTTGAACCCTGTCATATTTTGGATTCTATTGAAGATATGGGGGTACTTTTCTCAAAAAGTCAAAAAATACAGGCAAAGTCCCCATATTCATGAGGCTTACATTCTAGTTTAACAAAAAATATGTACGCAAAATAATAAGTAATTTCAAATATTGAACAGTGTCCTTTAAAAAAAGGCAAGGGCCAGCCCAGTGGCACAGTGGTGACATGTGGCACAAGCAATGCCAGGGTCACATAAAATACTGCAGGTTTGGTTTCCTGGTCAACCTGAACGGTGAACACTAGGCACAGTAACCCATGATCTGGCTGTCCAGGAAGTTGGAGTTGGGGGTCGTGGTGTGAGGCCCAATTGAAGGAGCTTGTCTTGTCATTCTCTGTCTCTTACTCTAATGAAATAAATGAATAAAATTTAAAAATTATTTCAAAAAATAAAATACATGGGAACCAGCAGTTAGCGTAATGGCTATGTCGCTGGACTCCCACGTAGTCGACCGCGGTTTGTGTCCCGGACCCGGTGGCTTAAAACTCACGCCGGGCGCGTGTGCGTGCGTGCCCAAGATCCCGAGAGGAGAATGGAGGAGAAGGGATTGCGGCGTGACCATCCCCCCTGGGGGGTGATTTCTCGCTTTCTGTCTCTATGTCTCTCTCTGTCTGTCTGGTGAGCGCACGTGCCCTACAGTGAAAATCTCTCCAAAAAAAAAAATAAATAAATAAATAAATAAATAAAAAATAAATAAATAAAATACATGAAAAGTGATTGGAAATATAGGGATGATTATCTTATGAAATTGGGAAGAATTTTTAAAAATTTTCTTGAGAGAGATTTTTGCCATAAGGTGTGTGAACTTGCCAGAGAGACAAAGAGAGATAGAGACAAAAAGCAAGAAGTCACCCCCCAAGGGGATGGCCATGCCACATTTCCTTCTCCTCCATTCTCCTCTCGAGAGTTTGGGCCCGCGTGCACACACACATGCTCAGTGTGAGTTTCCAGCTGCTGGGTATGGGACTCAAATTGCTGTCTACTATGTGGGAGTCCAGCGCCTGAACCACTATGCCACCTGCTGGCCCTAGAGAAGAATTTTTGATTGAGATCAAATTTGAGTGACAGCTTGAAGGATGAGAAAGAATCAGCCAAGTAAAGACAAGAAGGCAGTAAGGTTCCCTGAAGAGAGACAGTAAACGTAGCAGCTCTGACACTGCACTGCAGCCAGAGGATAGCGAGCGAGAAGAGAAGTGGACAAAGTGGGATCTGACGGGTGGGCAACCGCCAGATCACGTGGGCCTGGTGGTCCATGATGGAGGTGCAATTTTAAATGAAATGCAAATCCTGCAATCAAACGTAATTTTGAAAATAGCTTTACCTTCTTGACAGATAATGAATTGTCAATGGAGCAAAATGATAAAAGTTTATGGGTAGTTTCTTTAACACATGGCTTGGGAGATGTCCTTCAATTGGCGTTTTAATATATTTGATGAAGTGTTTGTATTTGGGGTTGTTGTAAAATAAAATGAAATTACATTAAAATAAAAATAGAAGAAACAAAAGAGTCCCTGTTAGTTATCCTTCATAGCCAATTAGGATGAATATAGCTGAACTGTTATTTTCCTACAAGGGAAAATTTAAAACAGACCAGTATTAAGTGTGCTCACCAACGGTTCAACACCCCAAGTTACTCCGGGATGGAAACACTGATAAAGAGTTTTGGAAGGCAACCCTGTAAAACTTTTTCCATCCTTTCAAAACACTTCTGCACTACAGGAGTAAAACATCACTTAGGAGGCAGGGAATCAGGGGAGAGGATTACTCTTCCATCCCTGAAGTGAGGGAACACAGAATCACTCTTTCGAGTTTGTTTTTATGCTTCTTCATCTGATCCGTTTCTTATGGAACAACAGGGGACATCTTCTCCAGCTAATGAGCTGACCCTGCTGAGAGCAGTCCGAGCAATAATGAAAAATAACATCCCTAGCAGAACACGGTACAAAATAATTGTTTTTAGCATCACTACCAAGAGCCCAATTCGTAAGTTAGTGATTTCAGTGAACTTTCCTACTACTTGAAAGGAAGGTGAACTGAAAAAGCCCGCTGTCCAAGGCAGTGAGGCCCTACGCTTTTTTTTTTTTTTTTTTGGAGAGATTTTCACTGTAAGGGCGTGTGCACTCGCCAGACAGATAGAGAGAGACATAGAGACAGAAAGCGAGAAATCACCCCCCAGGGGGGATGGTCACGCCGCAATCCCTTCTCCTCCATTCTCCTCTCGGGATCTTGGGCACACACGCACATGCACCCGGCATGAGTTTTAAGCCACCGGGTCCGGGACACGAAACGCGGTCGACTACGTGGGAGTCCAGCGACATAGCCATTACGCTAACTGCTGGTTCCTGGCCCTACGCTTTTCATTCTGATGAACTTCATTTTTGCCACCTCTTTAGCTGTGAGAGTATTGTCAAACTACTGCAATTCTCTAAGACCCAATTTCTGATCTGTAAGGGGATGCGAGAACTTAGCTCCATAGCTGTGGAAAGGACAGGTGAGATTTGTGAAGTGCTGGTACATTGCAAAACAATCAATATGTGATAAGGCCTATCAAGATCATTAGGTGCACGTGACTAAGGTATGGTAAGATGCTGGGTTCTTAAGGGATTTTATTTGTAGAGTCAGTGCTGCCTATTATTTAATGAGTGACCTTAGGAAGACTTATTTGAATTTTTCCCCAGGTTATTACAGAGCCAAGGAGCCATTTTTTTTTTCTGAGAAACTGAGCAAGGCACTCTTTTAAGCACTGTACACTCTGTCACTCTCTGTGTTTAAAAAGGCTTATGCCTGGCCTTTGTGGCTTCTGGCAAAGACACAATGGCATGTTTCAGAAGCAAATTTCCAGGGCTTCTGTACAGATTGTCTCTAAAAGGACTTCCCAACCAGGAGT